CAAAATTATTCTAGACATTGTGCAAACATTTTAGACATTGAAGATCCATCACAATCAAGCATGTACCATTCGAGATCTGAACCTTCTGCTCACCCGGGGAAGTGACTTCAGAATGTTTTAGTACGCTCCGTCAGTTTGCCAACTACAGCACACAAAATACTCTACCTGAAGTTGGGAGTCAGACTAGGCATGGAGCAGCCTCCAATGAAATCCACTCGAGTTTGGCTTAAATGCTTGAGAGCTCAATCAAACCCACACGTTCCCAAGGACGACGGCTGCGGAGGCAGTGAATGCAACGCTCTTGTTGCGAAAAGGGACAGCTGATCGAGGCTTCGTCAAAAACACTGCCTTATACCTTGGCTATTTAGTGTTATTCAATACCACCAGGAGTGCGCGAACTATGTTCATGTAAGGGTGGGGGGGGGGGGGCGACTCCAAAATACCGAAATAGACCCATAAGATTCAAAGTCGGGCCACCTTCAATCCAGAATGGGGGAGATAAGCTCTCCCCACCGTCCCGCCCCCCGCTCCCGCGTCTTTGAATACAACTCTCTCGAGCACGCAAGTGCATTTCGTACCATATATGTTGTGTAAGAGCTCGTATAACCAATATATACTCGAATGTCTGCATATTTTGTGTATAAACACAGGTGTGATAGCTGATTGTGAAGTGCAGTCATTAAAATGGCAATACTTACAGGCTCGCACTCACCCAGAAAGCTTCGATTGCGCCTTGTTGGAGCAAATAAGTTCTGGTTACTGCATGTAGGTTTCCGACAGTAACAACTTCCGATCATCCGAAGTACTGCCAGTCTGTGCCTTCGGCTGTGACGTTAGATATCAAATTGCTGGTGTCATCAATTTGCGCCTCGGATCCGAGGCTTCCAACTGATTTGTACGCCTCACAGCTTCGATTCGTCCGTGCAATTATACACTGAGCGAAAATTACTAATGTATTTCTTTATTCTATGGAATAGTCTGACGCATGGCTACAATAAGCGATTAAAAACATATGAAACAGAAACAGACTTACAGAAGAGCACATTCAACAATTTACACACGACCACGTCGCATATCATGCAAACCTTCACGAAACAGATAAGCATTGGACGAATCCCGCGGGTTAATGATGCGAGGAAAATCATACCATTGATGACGCATCTTCACAGAAAACGCTCCCGGAACGCGCTGATATTCAGAGTGTAGCTTATGCTATCCCAGCGTCTGCACATTTCAGAAACCCCTTACCGCCCCTCTGCACTTTCCCAGTTAACTTCTAAAACGCCCCCTCGTCCACGAGACGCACCCTTCGGTACAATGAAACGAAATGCTCCTTAAAAGCCGCCGCAGGTACGCTGTCGGCACCAAGTCGCACATTTACGCTTCCCAGACGGACACAGCTCAGATACTGCCCACTCTCCTGCGGACGTGGCACAAAATCTCGACGTCTTCCTCTACAAGCTTAGTGTCCATGTTTTAGTTGCCCCTAACATCAAAGACACTGCCCTGCTGCACTCGCGGACGTGAAACGAAACCTCGATGCCTTCTTCTACAAGCTTAGTGACCATGTTTAGGTTGCTTCTAACGTAAGCCCGGGCGGAAACGTCTCCCACGCTCGTCACCAGTCCAAACACCGCGTTCAACCCACCATTGGCCGGCCACACCCCCGCCAACGGCGTCATGACGTCACTACGGCCCGCGCAGCCTCCTCATTGGTCTGCACGGCTGCTCCGATGTCCGATCCGTCGGCACGGGCACCCGCCCGAGGTTCGCCAAGCGACTCCAGAGTCCGACGTTCACATGGCGCGTGCAGCCGTCATATGAGGGCCGGACCAGTCTGACATCACAGCGCGCGCAGACCGGCGACCCGCACGGCCGCCGCATAGTCTGACGTCGCACCAGCGCTGCAGCCCCCACGGTCCGCTGCCGCGCCTCACACCAGCCCCAGGTGGCCGCCGGCCAACGGCGAGCGCGGTTCCGGCCGCGCGGCGGCGCCGGGCGGTCTCAGGCGCAGCGTCAGCACTCCCCGCGGCGCTCACAGCAGCACGGGCAGGCCGAGGCGGCTGCGGTGGCGCCCCGTCGCCGCCGCCGCCGCCGTCCTCGGCGAGCGGCCGGCGGCCGGCGAGGGCGCGGCCAGGCGCGCGGCGCGCGGCGTGCGCGGCGTCCTGGCGGCCGGCGCCGGCGGCAGGCCCACCAGACGCTGCGAGCGGCGGCGACTGCGCGCGGCGGCCCGCAGCGCCGGCGAGCCGCCGGTCGCGCCGCCGCCGGCCGCCTGCAGCCGCTGCAAGCCGCGCGTGAACTCGGCGTACGACATGTCGGAGGCGAGGCTGACGTTGCGAGCGCTGAGCTTGCCCGGCGCCGTGCGGGCCATCGAGGCGTTCCTGTCGGCGAGGGTCAGAGTCAGGGGCCACGGCGGGAGGGGCGGGTCAAGGGCCACGGCGGCGAGGGTTAGGGTCAGGGTCAGAGGCACAGCGGCGAGGTCACGGGTCACGGCGGCGAGGGTCAGGATCAAGGGCCACGGCGGTGAAGGGCGAGGTCAGGGGTCACGGCGGCGCGGGTCAGGGTCAGAGGCCACGTCGGTGACGGGCGAGGTAAGGGTCAGAGGCCAAGGGTCAAGGGCAGCGGCGGCGAAGGCAAGGGGTCAGGGTCACGGGCGACGGAGGCGAAGGGTAGGGGTCAGGGGCGGCGGCGATGGGCGAGGCAAGAGGCAGCAGCGAGGGGAGGGGTAACGGGCGGCGGCGAGCAGTGGAGGGGTTCAGAGGCGGAGGCAGAGGGCACACTGCGGCACGTAACATGGCCGAGCTCCATGGCCGGCCGCAAACCTCAGGACGGAGACGTCATTCCAATCACCCCAGAACATGCGTGGGCGCTTACAAGTGACGACACATACATCACAAGCCGTGCACCCACGCGAGGGCGGCACCGCTCCCATGTGAGGCAGTCAGCGCAGGCGTTATCGTGTTCAGCTCAGCACGTTAGTGCGTCGGCTAGCACTGTTAAAGGAGTTTGGGCAGGCGGGGTTCACCAATGGACCAAGAATACGCAACGAAGCCACCATCGCGCTCATTAATGTTTTTTTTTTGTTCTTTTTGTGGGGTTATGGTGCGGGGACTTCGAGGGTGATCTGACCCCCAGCCCCTGCGCTGAACAGGCGCCGATTATATTTTGAAGCTTGAAAGAGGGCGCATCGCAGAGCGGCGCCTCCGGTCATCTACGACCTGCGGCCGAAAACCCCGCGGCCAACACGACCCGATCCGGCCACGCAGGTCAAAGCCATTCTCCACGGACGCGCGAAACGATCCTTTGGGGCAGCAACAGACCATGCCAGCGGCGCCGGCTCGCCTGAGCGCGCTGCCGTCGGCTAAACCGCGCCGCACAAAACGTAGTCACAGTCACGGACGCTCCGTAAAGGCGGTCAGTGCTGTACGCGTGCACAAAACGTAGAAATATGTGCAAACATAAAATAATGTGGTGTATAGGCATAAACGTGCAGTCAACACACAAACTAGCGACATATGTCAGCAAAAGCTGTTTCCAAGACGGGACAAGCTCATTCACGTAGTAGTAAGTGCAAAGAAAAACCAAATTGGAGTCATAGACAGACGCATCTGAGAGGGGGTGTGGTCCAAATACGTCAGCCAGTGATGTCCGTCCAATACAATTTAGACAAGGCGAAAAGGGCACTTTTCCTCCAGTGTCATAACAGCCAGTAAAACGGCAGCTACTCCCCATAAATGTACGAGATCTGAGTCCGTCAGCAGAAAAAAGGATTACCTTCAGCAGACCATTACTGGCCGACGGTAATCACGGCTCTCCAACGAAAGCCCAAGACGCAAGTCAAGCTTCGCCCTTCAGTTAGTAAACATGTGACTCCGGCGATGAACCGGCCGTCGCGTAGCGGTTAGCCCCGCGGAGGCCCGCCAAGGGCACCTCTCAGCGCGCGGAAGTCACGCGTCAGCATGCAGCGGAGCCGTCAGGAGCCCCACGCAGAGATGCCACTGCCGGCGACACCTCGGGGCACCGACGCAGACACCGCAGGAGATCGCGCGCGCGCGACAGGAGACAGAGAGATCGGGCTCGTGCGCGCCCGAGGTCGGCAGGCGGCGGCGCGCGCCTGGGCAGCGGCAGGCGGAGGCGGGCGCCAGGCTGTTACGAGCGCCGTGCGGTGCTTACCTACACCTGGCGGGACCACTCACTTGTGTTCCGTGAGGCGGTTCATTTGGATCGGAGTCAACGGCTTTCTGCGAGGCAACCGGACGGGCCGGACGGTTAGACACTGGTCCGGTCGGGGGCGGGGGCGGGGGAGGCAGGTCACGTGTGTGCCAGGCGAGCTTCCGTCGCTCGTCGGCACGTGTGTTTGTGTGACGAGTAGATGCGAGTGCCGTGTGTGTAGAACAGCGGATGTTATTCGCGTTCCACACACAGGTGTTCAAGACCCAAAGGCAGAGCCGACACGGTCTCTGACCGTGCCCCCACCAGCCAGTCGGCGTTCGCGGCGAGCACGCCTCGTGCGCACGTATGGCCGCCGCCTGCGTGCCTCGCTCAGACACCGCCTGACGTCCATCCAGCGGGGAGCGGGTCTGCCATCCGCCCGCCGTCGACCCCCCGGCACCACCACAGAGAACCGCGCCTGGCGCCGCGGCCGGGCCGGGCCGGGCCGGGCCGGGCTGGTCCGCTCACCTGTTGGCCGCTGCGGCCGGGTTGAAGAGCGAGAGCGGGGTGCGCGCGGTGCGGCCGAGGCCGGGCGAGGGCGCGCGCAGCCGCGAGCCCAGCCGGGTCGACTCCAGCCGGCGCTGCTTGGAGGGCGAGCCGCCGCCGCCCTGACGGCGCTTGGCCGGCGTCACCGGGCGCGCCCCGAACATCGTCTCCTGACGGACACGGGCGCGCCGCGGTCAGGGCGTGTCCAGGTCAGGTCACGGTCAGGTCACAGTCGAAAGTGGAACGGTGGAGGCGAGCGCGGGCTGTGGTGGTGTAGAGGGGATATCTGGTCAGGTGCGAGGTCATGACTCATGGGCCGTGCGACAGGGTCAGGCGCGTGCAACGCCAGGCAGGTCAGACTAGTTTTACCACAGCGGCGACCCTGTGAATAGCCGTATAAGTGAAGCAAGCGCGGTGGGTTACCAATTTTGAATGAAACCCGTTTAAAGCTCAGACTGAAAAGGCGTTAAAGTTGCATACGACTTTCGGCCACTCAAGGAAAAACCAGCGACGTTCGAACCTCCAAGGCACACGAAATTGGCACTTCCAGGATGAATAAGCGTGAAAAGTTGTTTCTGTCTCATTGTTGCCTTCGATTCAGCAACCGGTCGTCATTTTTCCCGCTAGTTTCACAACCTATCACGAGTCCAAAGCAAACAGAGCAGCTCCGTCCCACACAGAACGCCTCGGAAGGGAGCCAAAACCAGCCGCTCGCACCCGCCGCTCCCGGCCGGCCGCCGCGCCGCCAACTCACATGCTCCAGCTGGTTGGCCTTCTTGGAGGCGCGCTCGACACGCTCTTGCTCCTTGCGCTCCTGGTGGTCCAGCTTCTGCTGCTCGATGTACGCGGCGAAGTCGTGACCGTGCACCAGAAACGTCGTGTTGTGCTGACACTCCCATCTGGCGGGGAGGAGGGGCAGGGGGAGGGAGGTCAGAGGAGGGCGGCACCCGCGGCGTAGCAGAGCTGTCTATTCAGGGCGGGGGGGGGGGGGCGGTCAGGGGCAGGCGGCAGGCGCGGCGCAGCAGAGCTGGCAGTTCAAGGGGGGCACCGGTCAGGCCGCCGAGCAGCGCCTGGTTCTGAACGCACTGTCGAGTCCTGCGCCGTACGCAATTACGGCCCCCGCGCCCGCACGGAAAACAAAACTGGCAGCGTTGGAGGCGTGGACCGCTTGTAGCGACCCAGTCATTTGCTGGCAAAACACAACATATCCCCTTTGATGAAATGGAGAAACGAAACGATAGCTGCGTCGAGCTGTCGCGGCCGCGGGCGGCGTCTGACGTCGGTGATATGGATCCTCGGGCACCGCAAAACCTGGTTCACGCGGCGTCCATCCGCAGCTCGTCTGCGCCTAGCGCTCACCACCTACTCACGACCGGTGCACTGGAGCGTGACCAGTGACGTCACCATGGCGGTCAGATACCGACGTCGTCGTCTCGTCACACGAGAGACCCGCCCCATTTTCCTCTACCGGTCGGTGTGAACAAGCCATTGTCAAAAATAGCATGCTACCAGAAAGTTCGCCTCGTTGTCTCCCCGAAACCGAGGGCAGTTTACCTAGAGCACATGACAGGTGCTCAAATACTAGTGAGAGGATGTGTGTGCCGTCCGCACCCAGCGCGCCGGACTTCCAGCGACACGGCGCGGCACGTCACGTGCCATGCTGGGACAGGACCCGTGCCTGACCAGCCGAACACGTGACAGCACCGGGCGGCCCGGCACGCCCGGGGGCGTGCTGCTGACCTCTGTATGAGCTGCTGGAGATCGCTCTCCACCTTGGGCAGGCGGCGGGCGATCTTCTTCCTCTCCTTCTCCTCCAGCAGCAGCTGACCGCCCCGGTTCGAGTACCTGGCGACGGCGCCGGCGGCCACAGGTCAGCGACAAACAAACGGTCGCCGAGCCGCCGGCGGCCACACCATCAGCCCCAGCTGCCAACCGAGCTTCCGACTACGACTATAACGACACACGCTTCAGCTGTTTCTCTCCTACCACGGCCGACTCTCTCTTGCGCTCCGATGAGCCCCATCCGTGTACCCAGGCCGCTGCGGTTCGCCCTCCCCCGCCAAGAACACGCCCGTCCCTCGGCCATAGAGGCCACGAAGGCGTGCTGCCATCCCTTAGCCGGAGCCGACGGAGCCGCCGGAGCCGCACGATCCCATCCCTCGGTCGGGATGGGATCCTTGGCCGACGGAGCCGCATGCTTTCGCCGCCCGCTAGAGAAGGTACCAAGGAATGCTTCCATCGTTCAGGCACAAAGATGTCAAAGGGGGCATTCATACCTCGGTCAGAGACGGCGATCAAGGCTCCCAGCGATATGGAACCCCGACAAACTGCTGCGCGGCCCCGCTTCTGCTACGGTGTGGGGTCGGTAAGGACCTTACCCGTCGCGCGCGGCGATCAGCGATACCCCAGCAGGATCCAGCAGAGGCCGCCTCACCGTGCCGGGTCGTTGGCCCGCTCCTCCAGTTCCAGCATCTTCTTCCACAGCTTCTGATGCTCGTCCACGTCCTTGATGAGCACGCGGTTGGTATCGTAGTAGCGCCGTACGCGCTCCAGCTCCTCCTCGTGCTGCTCCAGCAGCGTCTCTGTGAACCTACCGCAGCGCGGCCGGGTCGCACGGTCAGGCACGCGCTCCGCCATGGGCGCGCCTCCAGCGGCGGTGCCGCAGGCTGGTCAGCTAGCCCAGGAACGGGACAGAGCCACCGCTCGCGTCCATGCCGTCAGTGCACGACGACGAACCATTTCACGAACGGTAATGACACGCACAATGGACAAAACACTGCGGGCCATACTCCCAAAATACGATGTGGACGCCCTTGCTTTTGCATCCAAGACGGTTTTCGCCATTGCGCCCACGCCCCGCCCCGCCCCGCCCCGTTAGCAGCCAATAACAACCACAAAAGAGGGTGGCTGAAGCGAAGACGGTGGCTGCCCTTGAGGCGACGACGGTGGCTGCCTGTTGGCTGTTCTCATCCTTCCCGTCATTGCGCTCACGTTTTGGCGGTGAACACAGCCCATCTCGGCCAACACAACACAGGCGCAGCAGGCTCCCTGCTGTGTCATCCGTGAGGGAGAAGCCGTCCGCCCGCCGCCGCGACCGACTCACGTTTTAGCCGTGAACGCGGTGAAGGCGGCCCGCTGGCTCTCCGAGTAGTAGCAGCGCTCCCACAGCTCGGCGATCTCCGTGCGCAGGGCGCGCACGAACTTCTCCACGTTCTGGCGCTTGAGCTCCTCGTGGCGCGCCACCTCATCGCGCAGCACGCGCAGGGTGCTGGGCTTGTGGCCGGTGCAGCTGGCCAGCACGCTGGTGCGCCGCTCCTCCGGCACCTGCGACCAGGCCAGCGCACGCGGCGTGAGCGCGGCGGCCGCAGGTACACTCCCCACGGGTGGTGGATGGGATGAGGCTCTCAATCCGCGCACGTTACAGGAAGCGGCGCCGAAGAGTGCGCTAACTGCATTCCAGAACGACTTGGGGTGTTTGGTCTGCTCTACTGATCAGTCGCAATGCATGGGCAATATAACCGTTTGGAGCCATATGCATCAGTCGGGCGGGACTAGAACGGGGAGCGCCCAACGACACATTGTCGGGGAGAATAGCACTGCATGCCGACAAAATGTCCGCATCGCGTGACACCACGCCAGAAATCATCTGACCACTCATACTAAGCTTAACGGCTATCAAATTTGAACGAGAAAACAAGTTCCGTTCCCGTTAACGGCTAACTGACGTCCATCGTGAGCGGTTGGCCGGGCCGACCCGGGCGTCCCGCACCGGCGCGCGCTCACCTCGAGCCGCGCCCAGAGCCGGCCGAGCCGGGCGCGCAGCGTCTCGGCCTCCGTCTTGTTGGCCGCCTCCTCGGCCTCGAGCCGCTGCAGCCAGGCCTCCAGCGACGCCAGGTTGGCCTCGCTCAGCGGGAACTCGCCGTCGGCAGCCCAGACCGCCTGCGACTCCAGCTCGCCCTCGGCCGAGCGCTCCAGCGCCTCCAGCAGCGGGTACATGCGCTGGCGCAGCGCCTGCAGCGCGCCGGCGCGCCGCTGTCGCTCGCCCTCCAGCATGCGCACGTGCTCGCGCACCTCGCGGAAGTCGGCCTCCTGCGGGATCTCGGCCGTCAGCGACAGCGGCGGCATCTCCAGCTGCGTGCACAGCGCCGCCTCCTCCTCCTGCCGGCCAGAGGGTACGCGTCACCCGCGGCACACACGGTCGCCGAGGCTCGTGCATGCTGACGCGCCGCTGCTCCGCAAACGGCGTGAGGACATCTGGCAGCAGATGGCAGGCGACGATGCTGGGACATCACATCCTGCCAGGCTCCACATCTGAGAGACGCCAGACGTGCTGTTTGAAAAGCGACTCGCATTTAAGTCGCCATTCCTTTCATTTTTGAATTTCCAGATAGAGCACACTGCACCCACGAGTTCACCAGTGCAATTTCTCACAAGCGGCACCAGCAGCATGCTGTAAAAGCCTGCTCACACAGCCGGCCGTCAGACCGCCCGGCACGCCTCTTCCCATCCACCAGGAGCAGCTTCATAGCCGGGACGCCAGCAGCACAGTCCAAGCCTGCTCACTCAGACCGCGGTTACACCGTCACACGGCTCTCCACACTCACCCGGAGCAGCTTCATGGTCGCCACCACCTCGTCACGGCGAGCCTGCAGCTGCTGCAGCCGGGCCAGCAGCACGCGGTCCAGCTCCAGCAGCGACAGGTTCTCGTCCGGCTCCTCCACCGCCTGCCCCAGCTGGGAGGCCAGCAGCAGCAGGTGGCGCCCGTTCTCGTCGATGTTCTGCGTCAGCGTGCGCACGCGCCGCTTCTCCTCCTCCACCTCCTGGCGGCGGCAGACGGAAACGTGAACTGCGGCGGGCGGCCAGAGGTGGCGCGTACGGATGGAACGACTTCTGAGATGGAGCCGCTGGCATTTAATGCAAACCAAGGTGAAGTGAGAGGTCGTCATGATTCTTTTGCGATGACTGGGGTTTCAGATTGCGCCGAATACTAGGATCATTTTGCGCCCATAGCGTGGTGTGTCTGATGTTTTAAAAATCACCTGCACTGCTTCAGTGGCCCTGGTGGCCTTTGCTACGGTCTACCGGACAGCCACGAGCAATCGAACTCTCCAGGCCATCCGAAACGTACAGCATTCTGGCGTGTGACTGGTCCCAAGCGCAGTAACAAACAGCCGCCGCACACAAACGAACGCGTTTCCGTCACGCTGGGCAGCAAGAGAAACACCAACCGGGCTGGCGCCTCTTGCTCTCTGCTCACCGGCCGCAAACATCAGAGCGCGCCCATCACGCTGCGGTGCGGGCGGGCGGACAAGCTAGCGGGCGCGTGAGCCAGCGAGCGGGTGAGCTAGCGGGCGGGTGAGCTAGCGAGCGCAAGAGCCAGCGAGCGGGTGAGCCAGCAGGCGGGTGAGCTAGCGGGCGGGTGAGCTAACGGGCGGGTGATCTAGCGAGCGGCTGAGCCAGGGGGCGGGTAAGCCAGCGGGCGGGTGAGCAAGCAGGCAGGTAAGCCAGCAGGCGGGTAAGCCAAGCGGGCAGGTGAGCTAGTGAGCGGGTGAGCTAGCGGGCGGGTGAGCTAGCGGGCGGGTGAGCTAGCGAGCGTACCTCCTGCATGGTGGCCACCACATGGCCCCAGATGTTGCCGAGCCGGCCCTCCCAGTCCGTCTGGGGCACGCCGATCTCGCGGAACAGCTCCAGCAGCTGCTTGTGGTAGGCGTCCAGGCGGGTCAGCGCCACCGTCCTCTGCCGGGCCAGCGACTCCGGCAGCGGCGACCCCATCGCGGTCTGGCCACCGGGAGGGGTGTTACGGCCGGCTCAGGGACGTGTGGCAGTGGACAAATGACAGGCTGTCAGCAGGGTATCGTGCATGGCACTCAGCTTCATTTCATCCCCTTGCTGCCTAGTACCATGTAGCTGCCCTGGAGCACAAAACCATTTGTGCTTTGGGGAGAGGTGTTTTTTGGTAGTCTTTTTGGTCAAGATGCAACTGCAAATGGACAACTTATTATGCATCATTTATTCACTTATGCTTATTGTGCTTGAGTCTTGTGTCCAAAACTGTTTGTGGGACTGTGGAGGGAGATCCTTTTTGACAGTCTGTTTCTAGTCAAGCTGCAACTGCAAATGGACAACAAAATGTGCAACATTTACAAAAGGATGTATGCATACAGTCTACAGACCATGTTTTTAGTGGAACCATTGGTACTAAATCCCAGCTGGAGGTAGTTTAAATTAGAATTCCTTCTGATACTTTTGATCACCATAATTTGCTTTTCCTGGCCACAGGTCTGGGCCACAAACTCACTGCACCATTTTCATCAGCCAACACGCTCTTATCTAGCACTGGAACAGCACCTCAGGGAAGGGTGATGATGGATAGCGTCACAAGCTGTTGCAAGGAGAGTATCTTGGGGGCCATGTGCACACTTTTAGTAGAGAGCAGTGTTAAAGGCTGTCTGCTTGTGATGAGCTTTAAGGGAGTAAGCAAGGAGGTGGCAGGACTTTGGCAGGACTTCAACAGGCAACAGCCTTGTGAACGATACCATCAAGAGACTCGTTGAAAGCAGTACCAGGGTGCACAACAGGATGTTGGCAGGACAGAGCTGGGCCACATCATCATGAGCAAATGGCATCACATAGTTGAGACCTCTTAAATGCAGCATTGACCATCAGTGTGGGCCATTAGTTTGGAAGAGACTTTGAAAAATATCATGATTATCTAGAGCAGAAAACTTCGCAATCAACCTTTCTACACCTTCACCAAAAACATCAATAGATGCGTACAAATCAGAGTAGCGGCTCTTCACAGACAGAATGCTTTGCTATATGTATTCCCACTTTACTAGCAGAGATGTGGCTACCTTGGCAGATGCCAGGTTGCCTGCATACACAGCTAATTGTCATGGACCTGAACATCTGGATTTTAAGAAGCTATCTTAGAATAAGGAAACTATGAACCAAGTGGTAATGATATCAGCTGGTCCACATATCCACATCTCACTGAGTTCCTAAACACTGATAAACATTTTGAAAAATATGATATCAAAGTGATTCTCAATTAAGCTAAAACAAATACATCACAAGCCACATCATGTGTCACAGCTTGTCGCATTTACTGCAATCATGTAATTGTTTTGACACCAAGAATTCTGAAATGTGTACCATAAGCTGAAGCAGCTCTTACAAATCAAACTTAGCAAACCGCTGTTTCGCCTCGAGCCAAGTGGCACCACCTCATTTAAATTGTGAATTAAGCTTAATTATACTGGCTGCAAGACCTAGCTTAGTCAGGTGGTATGGGACAGTAATAACAGGTTTAAGCCAGTTGCAAAAGTATGCAACGGTAGCAGAATATGACGGATGCCTCGCCCACGCAAGCCTCCGTCACAGCCTAGAACAATCACATCCAGGTAACTGTCACACGGCAACCCTTAGGTACTACAACAAGCAATGATGCGATAAAGCTACATAGAACAGCTCAACTGAACTGGCGGATAATTACCTAATGCTTTCAGAATGCTATGAAGATACTTTCCGGCAGACGGCCCCTAGAATCCTTCTCACTGGTTTACAGCCAATCACGTTCAAATTTTAAACGACCGGTGTGGCCACGAATAGAGATGGAAAGCAGCACTTCTAAAAAAGTTTTATTTCAGCTTTACGAGAAGCTATGAGTGTTATTCGGAAATCTTTGGGTTCAAAATTTTTTAAAAAATATTGCGCCTAGTCTCAAAACATAAATTACTCGATCAATTTTGTTCAATCAATTATAAGTACCAAGTACCATACTGAGTACTGTTTGGCCGTAAGAGGCTGCATGCGTATTTATTCCGATAGATGTAAAAACGCCACGTCTAGCAAAAGCTACGTGGGGCATTCCACGTCAAATCGAAGGGCTGGTTTTACAGCCCCAGCTCTCAGATTTTGATGAAAATGGGTGACAGGAGTATCAGCGTGCTCGTGCTGACGACGCCTGTCACTTTTTCAGGACTTTTAGTTGAGCGGTTTCGGAGTTAAAGCGTTCGGCATTTTTGCATTGAGTGGTTGAAGGGCTTTGTTCGGCGGCGATTTTGCTCACTACAATAAAAGTAAACCGTGCGAACCCATACGTCTCAGTGATTTCTTTTTTTAACCCTCCAGACTACGTCTGTGTCGTGGTTGGAATCGTGATTGAACAACGAATATCGATTGTGGTATTATGAGCATTTGTAATGCATTTTCCATCTTCCTGCGTGATTTTGAACCTTTCCTCATTGGCATGCGAAAGAGCACAATTTGAACTCCGCCATTCACAGCTTAACTTGATGGTTATCGGCTGGGGAAGGTTTGAAAACATGGCCCATTCGCGCTATCGCCGTCGGCTGCCGGCGCAGGATCTCCCGCGCGTCTCCCGCACAGGCGACGGAAAATGAGCGCATTGTGAGACAACACTAAGCGTGGCAACGCAATGACTCGTATGCAAGTGGAAGTTGACTCAGTGCGCCAGTGACTCAGCCTAACTCACTCTAACTCATCAAAGCTCTTAAAAAGCAAGCGACCGCTTCTTCCCTTCCAACGCCTGACTCACGGGCAATGGCGGTCTGGACACTCGTTGGCGTTGCTCCATGAATTGCAAGTGTTCCTTGGACAGTTTTGGTTATAGTTAATCTGATGCTGAGGTCGTCCTCTGCCCGAAGGATATCTGCTTATGGTACGAAGAAATATATCGCCCACATACTATCCTTGCCCTGCAATGGCTGGCATGGCTTCAGTCAGCATGCGCCCGGGTGGCCGGTTGGATACCCTTCGCTCGGGCGGGGGTCAGTTTGACCCCCGCCGAGGTCTCAGGAACTAAGAGAGCTAGAGACACAAAATTCACAGGGTGTGTTGGCCTGTACATGAGCTCAGTTAGGTCAAAGTTTGAGGTTTTTAGGTTATGACCTTCGGGCCACATAAGGTCGAACAAGGTCGACTTCTAGGTTGGTCTACAAAGGTCCCCTAGAACCTAGATAACTGTTCTAAGCAAAAGGTCACATGCTCATTTTAGGTCAGCGACCTTGTTCTTAAAAACAAAATGTTGACCTGGGTCATTTTAAGTAAGCGGCCTATTATGAGCTTAAAGAAGTCCATGGAAAGTGTAGAATACGGTCACTGTTATCAAGAAATTCGAAATGAACACCAGAAACTCCCCCATACAGCAGGCCCCAGAGTAATAAAACATGTTTGTTTTGACCTTTGTCTGACCTTGATGCCTGACCCTAGGCCAATGTAATTTATTCATTCAATTGTTGTGTTGCCTAAGAAAGTATCCCAGAGATGCATGGCTTCGTCTAACACTCCGTTGTTTGATCAGATTGAACAATTCCACAGAAATTGCATTCGCTGAAAACATGGTCTGACTTTGACCTGCCATAGGTCAGCGACCTCACAAGGTAGATCATTGCTTCACCACTTATGATCATCGAGGCAATGCCTTGTCATAAATCGACTGCCTGGAAGCGACTGCAAATGGTGGCGAAAAGATTGGCTCAACGAAAATGTATGGGCTTTTACGAAACGGATCTCCTGTCCGACATAGTTCGATGGCAGTGAACTATGCAGTAAGCATTCGTCGCCCAGCCGGAATTTCTCATCTGCTCACAGTACTCCATCGCTACCCGCGAAGAGCCCTTACCTATGTGATGCGCAGGCCTGTCTCCATCGTTTCCGGTGAGGGATAATTGAGTCAATCATCTGTGACGCACGTAGCCCATCTTGACAAAACTTCGATAGAACTTGCGTGAAATTGCCAGGCGCTCCAAGCTATTCGCAATATAAGACTTTTGCAAGATGGCGGAATTAACGTCACAGCATGGATTTGACCGCGACACTTCCTGCTTCATGGCATAATATCCGGACAAATATTCCTTGACCCGCTATTTTCTCACAGACTGTTCATTGAAACGCAAAGAGGGCATCAGCGCAGCACCAGGCAGGCACCAGCCCAGCACCAGGCAGGCACCAGCACGTGATTTAACACCACATACTAACGATCGATTTGTATGTTAGGTATTCTGATTACTGCGAAACTGTGCAAGCACACAATGAGTGCACAACATATAACCGATCAGAAAGAAGGTGTGAATGCGTAATCTCGACATTCCTACAGAACTTTCTATTCCTCAAGGTACATTAAGTAGAGTGCAAGGTCATAAGACATGGAGAAGTGCCGGGATCTCAGAGTATCGCCGGAGGGGCGGTGATTCCTCCGCTGGGTTTAAATTTTTGCAGAGGTGTGGGCGCCAGGCGTCCGGACGTCGGCGCGCCAGGCCGATAGGGTCCCCCAGACACTGTTGGGCCCACGGCTGTAACTGTCACTGCACTGTTATTCTGCACTCCGATCAATGACTGACCACGACGGTACCCTCACTCTGCGTTGCGCTGTTTTTGCCTCCGACGGGGTCGGTGTTTTTAAGGGCCGCCCCCTATTGATCGTCCTGGCACACATATCTGGAACTAGCTCCCGGGCCGAGCGTGACAAACAAAAACCGCACTCGCACATTGGAAAAGCAGCATGTGGCCCGCAGCGGATAGATATGCCGCGCGACACATGCACATTCAATTCAAAGGAGCTTAAAGCAGCTTCAATACGTCAGTTTCCGCAGCTTATCCAGTATCCCGTGTTATGACTGTCAACGTGCTATCTTGTTCTGTCGGGCCGTGGCCTCTGGAGATCACAGTGCTATATCGGGAGAAGCCGTTGGATGTCCTTGTTATCGGTTTTGTTACCGTGTAAGCTCCACCAAAAAAGCTTAGATGGGTTTCAACATGTTATATTACTTTGCTTATGCACAATTCTAAAAATCTTGCAGGGAATCAAATGGGTAGTACAGATCGGTGTTAAAGTCAATAGAAAGTCACGTGTTTCCCCAGAAACTGATTATTTCCGGACTTTTATGAGTTAATCTCTTGAACTAGGCATCATTTGATGTTGCAATTGGCACGTTTCGACTTGGCATTGTGTGTCACCTCTGAAAAGATGTTATTTTCATTTCCTTGGCCATGATCATGACGCGATCTGATATGGTAAGAAAACTGATTCTGCCACCTTACTTTTTCACCTCAAAACTTTGAGGCAATTAGTGTGTAAATTCGACTTAAGAGGTTTAGACCAGTTTCGACAGGAAAGTTTACCGTACTCATCATTCATCATCACGTGTTATATTTCTTCACGACAAGCATCAACCTGGTATTCGGGGACCTCTGAACATCGCAGCCTTTATGCTCTGGGAAAGGTCTACAGTTGTCCTCATGTGGTACATTGCACACGTGTCGCGATTGTTAAGAAAATTGAACGGGTCGTGACTTTCCGGGTCGTACGGTCACGTGTTAAGGTCGACGGGGAATAATGTATTGCTCAGGAACTGACTATTTTCACACATTTATGAGCTAGTCTTTTGAGATAAGCGTCACTTGATATTGCAGTTGATACCATTCGACTCGGCATTACCTAGCCGCTATGCAAAGGAGTCATTCATACTTGCTTGAGCGGGGCTATCACGTGACCTGCCATGGCCTGAACGCTGGTTCTGTCAACTTATTTCTTGCCCCTAAAAACCTCGATGCAACTCGGATGCGCATTCGATAAAAAAATATTTCGATCTGTTTTATCGTGTCAGTTCACGGTACCTAGTCAGCATCCCGTGCTATATTTGCTCACGTGTTATGTTCTGTTTGTATGCAGTGACCTCTAAGGGTTACGATTTTTGGTGCCCAATGAAAAGCCGAGTGATGCCCTCGTTATGCAAGATGTTCCTCATTTGAAGCAACTTTATAGAACATCGAACGACCCCATGTTTTCCAGCTAGTTTTGGCTCAATTCGGCGTCTGAATTCCGTGGGAAAAGTATATGACACGAAAAACTAGGTTAAACAGAATTAGCGGCATTGTTTGTGCTGTTGGGCTACTGCGTCACCTGATATTGCAAACCAGATCATATATAGCATCTTGCTTTTGGACATTTAGCGGTTGACTTTGTATGACCCGTGGAGATAAAACCGCTCCATGCTCCACAAAAGGCATGTACGTCAGGCGTTAGCGCATGTTGAGCTATCTGTGGTACAAGCTGTGCTAAAATCGAAGGGGCCGTTAATTTCTGCTTAATGTGATATCGAACTGCTGCTTGTTTCACAGGCATATTGCGTGATCAGATTTGAGAGGCAACTCATTTTGTTTTTAAATCATTGCGTCATAACATGACGTCATTCACGGGTTGACTGACCAATCACATTGGAATCTGTTCAACTAAGCTGTTCTACGTTTTTGTGTCAGAGCAATTCGTGCATTATTGTACCCTTGGCTGGTGGGCTGGTTGCGCGGTTTGGAAATGTTTTGGGATTGTGTGGTTGTGATCCGTTTTTGCTGCGGGATGGGTGACGGATGGTTCCGAATACTTTCATGCTGTGGTTAGGATTGGCAGAGTAATTATATGCGTATTGCTGTTTCACCCGCATTTTCTTCGTTGGCTGCGCATTGTAGTCGAGGGGGAGAACTCGAACCAATGCCTCATAATTGTTTCTCCATGAGTTGGTGGCTTGTATGTTTACTTGCGCAGCCAGCCATGTGAGTCATATGGATAGCAGTGTACTTATTTCACACCCTTCCTCCCTGCATTTGACCTTTTGTTCTTTGCATGACTGGCACAAACTATAAACATTCAGCATAACATTACAGCACTCAATATATACATCCTGCATCTTGACATGTCTTCATCTGACACTGATAGTTTTGATGTGGTATTTTTTCTTGTAAACAGCACCTATGTAGGCCACAGTGCATGGGTATGCCAAGGCACCCGCTGTCAGGGGTACTGGAATTGGGTAAGAGGAGCTGAGGCTGAGAGTGAGCCCCCACCCTCCTCCCCTCTTCTCTCCAAAAATGTAGCATTGGCCCCATGGGAATCAACTAGAAATAAATGACAAAAATAGCCATTGGCTGCCAAACTTATTATTTCCATTGTCCTAGGGGCCATGAAAGTAGGCCATGTTGCAATGGTTATCTTGGATGAGCTATTCTCATCAAAAGTCATCATGTGTATGTTATTAAAATGATAAGCATGGTTAAAGAGGTGAAGAGTCTGCCCATTGAGTAGTTAGCATTACCCAATAAATATGCATTTAAAAAACTGGACAAACACTGGGCACATTGAATTAATCAGGCCAGGGGGCATACTGACTGAATAGTTAGTGTCTGACTCCCATGTGGGCAGCCCAGGTTCAAATCCTGGTTGTGTCATTGCCCCTGAGTACCAATATGGATATAAACATGTTTGCCCCTCATTAAAACAGTCATGACTGCTCCCTTAAAAAAGA